CAGCCGTCCTTTCTTGGTCTAGTGTTAAGGGCAACCTACCAGTTTTTCTACATTCCTTCTGTTTTCGATTGTGCAAATTTGTTAATACCAAATGGAAGGTTCTGCAACAATATATTCAGGGAGCTTTCAAAATCCAGCTTACCCTTATGCTTTCTTGACTGGTCTTTGTTTTTACAGTTAAGCAGCCAAGATACCCTACATTAAACTCAAAGTCGAGTCAGGCAGTTCTACAAAAATGACTAACAAATGTGTATTTTTATTCATTTTATTCTCTATTCTCAATCGATCTTCATAGTTATGTATAAAATGGCCTGGTTGGATTTTTCCTGCTTTATTTTCAGGGCTCATTTTGCCGCATTTACCTAAACCACACCTGTTTGACGGAAGCCATGTTAATCCAGTCTGGGGTACCCCGAAAACTGCTCTGTGAACTCTGGCAACAATTGGCTGAATTGAATGTAACCAATCCGGTTTTATTTGGCAAAAATGGCATTATTAAGCCTTATCCTAATGAAACGTCTACTGGCCAATGTGGGCAGGATAAATCCGAAGAGGTTGAAGATGCTGAACATGCATTATTACTTCGACTTCATGCTCTGGGAACCCATAGTCTCTGGCACACAAGACGCCGTCTTCTTGCCTTTTGGCGCTTACAGCCTTGCCGTGCAGAGGCCGTGCTTGAGGCACTTTTGGCAGCTAGTCCAGCTGGTTCTCTGTCGTCTGAAATGACAGCCTCCGTTGCTAGTGCCGTGGAACAATTAGCTTACTTACAAGCAAAGCTGCTTGCTGCAATAAATATGGACCAGCAACTTGAGGTGCATGAAATTTTCCAGCTCGCTGCTTTTTTCCATTTCTTTTCAGTTTTTGATTTGGATATTCTCTCTAAAATGCAGTTTGTTTGGTCTAGTCATAAGAAACTATTTTTAGTATATTATGAAGAGTAGGATGGCATATTTCTGCATAATGCACTAACAGCTCATTTGTTCTAGCTTAATATGATGTTAATAGTTAGCTTATCTGGTTTGATTTCATCAAAAATTACGCAATCTATTTTATTGATATTCGATCAGAGATAGATCATCAAACCTCTCCCCCCCAATTTCTTCATCGCGATCCCTTTCCCTCCGGTTAGCGGCAGATCCTTGATCCAGACGTCTTCTTTTTGCTGGTCTTGCTCTATTGTTTTCCCCGAGTTTGCTTAGGTAGTAGGTAAAGTTATCGCTAACTCTACCTTCCTCCAATCTCTTGTTCATTAAATTGTCTCCCCAAGGATGTCAATGGCCTCCATAATCTTGCTCTTCCTTGTGTTGTCACCGTATGGAGCTCTTCTTTCTGTTGCCTTCCAATTGATCTCGTGTCCAGTCCGTGCGATGTGTTCTGCTAGTTCTGAACTTATTAGGTTTAGTATCATAGGTTTCACTTAGTTTCTAAAAGGAAGTCTGGTGGAGATACTCATTAACCTTATCCGAGTGATAGGGTCTCTTAAGGTCACAGAAGCCACCAGGCTTCTCTTCAGAAACTAAGTGAGACCTATGATACAGAACGTAACAAGTTATTTAAGCTTATAGATATTAAGTCAAAGCTCCGGCGTGATTTCGCCAGGATCGTGTCTCCAGAACATTTTCAAAAATTCCAGAGCATGACCGACAGGAAATCACGTAGGATTTCTGACCTAATAACAAAACGGTATGATGATAAATTAAGTAAGTTTGGGATTATAAGACAGCCGAAGGTAAAACCAGAACGCCCAGTTGAAGTGGCTTCAGAGGTGACAACATTTACTGATCACCACGGCGATAGGAAGAAAGTATTAAACTTATCATCAATTCCTCTCTATCCCGAAACAACCGCGATCCTGGAAAAAGGACTCCATTTTACAATTCAACATCACAGAAGCTATCTAAGAGACATCCTGGTATGGAGGTTATCAATATCGCCGACAAGTTCCCTGAGGAGACAAAACGGGAAATGGAGATGGAACTAATTCCAAAGATCTTGATCAATCAGATGCCTGCACACAGGAACAGATTTGCCGTGATACGCAAAACCCTAGAAAATAATGAACAATTAGTCCTTTAGGCGGACAATAAACTGAGAAGATGGAATATATTCTACGAGACAGGACCAGATATCGTATACTAAACAAGGACCCAACTATGAAGATCAATCAAATCTTTAATGCCATGTTGAAAGATATGCATATGAATGGGGAAATTGACGCATGGACAAGAAATTTAATCATAATAAAGGATGCATGACCACCGAGAGCCTACGGATTACCGAAGATATACAAGGAATGCGAGCCACAGGCTAATTGTCAACAG